GTCTCTACTCTCTCTCTCTCTGCCTGTTCTGTGAGTTCTGACTATGTTCTAGTGCTTGCATTCTGTATTTCTGTTGTGTAGGATAGTTGTAGCCTGGGTCCCCTTACTGAGCCTTCAGGTCCCCTCTATACTGTCACTGACAGTTATGTCTTGAGTATGTCTGTTGCTAATATGTATTATTCTATGTTAACACTCCCCTTCAAACATATATTAGTTTAATAATATGTTTGTTTTGCAATTATTTGTTTATTTGATTTGTAGTTATTTTATTTTTATTTTTAGGGGTAGTTATAGTGCTACTACCACTCCCCTTCAAACATTTATAAGTTGGCTAGACTTATAAGATGTTTGATTTGCAGATTGTTTCAACAGTTTTATTAATATTACATCTGTATTGTATGTTGTGTCTGTATTATATTCATTCGTGTATTGCATTTAATAATGTCATTTGTATAATATAAATGTGTTGTTTGTATTGTATATTTTAGTCTACTGTGTGTTAACTTTGTGTGTTGTTAGATATCTATTAAGTTTTTGTTTACTATTGTGTTATTAGTTCTGTACTTTGTTTATTATTATATTATTAAGTTGTTGTTTGTTGTCATGTAGACTGTTTGACATGATTGAAATTGTTTGGAGTTAATTCAAAGTTTGTGTGTAGTTTATCATTCAATAACAGTATTGTTTTCACAATAAATTGTTTGAAATCATTATTAATATCATATGTACTTTAGAGACCTGCAGAATCTCATGAGTGCTGTGTAAGATTGTAATGTGTGTGTTTTATTTATTAAGTCTGTTCGAGTATTACTAGTAATTTCCTTTTACTTTGCTGTGAAACTAATGAATCATACTAGTAAAATGTATATTCAGTGTTACAATAATATCCTTCTTTAATTATTACTGTCTGTGTTTGTCTACATTTGTATATGTGTTAAACATTCAGCAATAGCTGATTTGTGTCTTCAGATTGAAGCTTTGCATTGATTGTATGTTGTAATATTAATAATATTATTTGTTTTTACCAAATTGCTTCATTCTAAGATCAATAAGGTTTTATACTAACATATATTTGTTGTATAGATGTTATATCTGGCTGCAGACAGCTTACTATGTGTCTAGGTGCATTGTATATGTATTATATCATGAATGTATTGTCTGTATTACTTTGTGTTATTGTTTATATTTATGTATTAATTTATTAATATTGTGTTCTGTAATGAATCGTTTCTGACACATTCTGAGTAACTATACAATCTGTTACATTATTTCTTCAATAGCCAACATAATTATCTGTTGTAAATCGTTACTAATGTGTGTTTGTATTATTTATTATAATATTATATTGAATTGTTGCAATTGTAATGTCATGAATATTTATAAGTATTATGACTATTGTTCTTTGTTTTTTCTTTTGCAAAGAATAGTGTATTGTAACACAATCTGTATATAAGTAATATATTAGATTATGTTTACTATAATTGTCTCCCAGCATACTTTAATTAATCTAGTACTATGTACAATTGTAGTATTTGTTCAATGTTTTATTTGTTAATTGGTTTGCTAGGTAAAATGTTTTATATATTGGTTTTAATTATTTTATTTGAATCATTGTATAGATATACTTATTAGTATCTATCTGATGTATTTCATAGTATTATAATGCTGTTCACACTTGTATTAATTATACAGTGAGGGCAAATTAATTGTTTGTACAAGAATTGATTTAATAGTTTTATTTGATTATATGTATGTGCTCCATACTTGTTTATATAGTTATTATCTGTGTGGCATTTGGTTGGGGTTACAAATTATATCACAATTATAATTGTATTATTGTATGGATATATTATTTATTGTTTTATGTATGTTCCAAAGTATTATTTTCGTTATTCATCACTTTTATCTATGAGCTATAGTCTGGATTAATGAATTATTTTGTTATATAACATGATATTTGTTTGTGTTTTATTTATTTTCATATTAAACTTTGTTAAGTTAATTGGATTATTATATTAATATTATTTGCCAAGTATGAGCATTTGTTTTGTAGTAGAATTATTATTTGTTTAATGTTGAAGTTCAATTGTGTGTTGTATTGACTTCTGTTATTTGTTCCAATCAATGTTATTTTATGTTGTACTGAATGATTTACCTTTGTGATCTGTTATGTCTGTCTATAACTTCTATTACTTATTGTTTTTAGGATCAGCAATAAGATCAACATTTCTGTGTCATGAATATTCATTTGTTCATATACAGTTTTGTGTTGTGAATGTTTGTGCATTTGCTGTAAAGAATGCTTTGGGAATATGTGTCATTTCTAGACTTTATTATTATTAATTTATTAATTATCTGTTTGAATAGCTTTTATAAGCATTGAAAATGTTATTTGATGTATAATTTTTTATATTCTTTAATAAGGTATTTTGCATTTGACAGATTTGTCAGGTTCATGTTTTGCATTTAATGGATTAGTCAGATTCATTGTGGATTTCACTTAGTAACATAGTCAATATGTCTGTATTAAGAATTCAATGTTTATTGTTAGTGTGTATATTGTTCAATCACTCTCCTTCAATTCAAGAAGGTTATTCTTTGAGTAATTGACAAGTAGTGTAAGTACAGAAGTACATTGTTGATTTCCTTTTGTGTATTTGTAATCTAACAAGTAGTGTTAGTACTTTGTTATTTTACTTTTGTGTATTTGTCAGTATGTGTTATAATATAATAGTATACTTTAAGTTAACTCATGATGTTTAACATACATCATTTTGTTTAAACATTATACTGTAACATTGTGCTGTTTGTTTTATAAATTTTAATACAATAGTTTGTTATATATCTGTAACATTTATATTAATTGTAAATGGACAGTGTGTCTGTTATTATTCTCTAGCATAATTCTGGGCATTCTGCTACATTTACAGTCAGACTCTCTGCATGTTTGCAGTTACAACATTAGTTGCATGTCTTTTCATATCTCTTATAGGATGTAATAGATATGCTTGTGTTTGCTTTTCTTTATATATTATACTATTCAAGATAATGCCTTAAACGTTTTATTAATTAATTTAATCATATTATATTATGATTGTCTTTGTTTGTAATCATTATAATAAGTGTGTCTGTCATATTTTTTCTTTTATTTGTTGTACTAGCTGTATTAGCAGTACTTCACTTGTATATAAGCTTTGTAACTTTAATATAAGTTTATTTATACTTTATTAAAGTATATCTATATTTCATACAATTAAATATGTTCTGTTACATTGTTTTAGTAATAATAGAGGTATTATTCTACTGTTTGCTATTATTTTACATTGTTATTATATGTTTACACTATTATAGGTGTAAGGTATTGTTATTTGTTTATTAACTATAATTGTGTACTTGTTCCTATACTGTAGTTACTATAATGTGCTTTGTAACTTTATTATTATTATTAATTATTTTGTCTATAGATAGTTGTACACTTTCATAAGCTGTATTAGTACATAGATATCAGATGTCTTAGATATTAGATGTATATCTGCTAACTTCTTTATCTTATATCTGACATGTCTGACATATCTGAGACATGTCTTACATTAATTGTTCAGTTGTAATATTACTATATATGTTATTATTTGATCTATGTTATAACATATGTGTATTTGTTGATAGTGTCAATCATTTGTACTATTATAATATTAATAGCAGATGAGTAGTATTTGCTTTCTCAATCCTTATAATGTTTGTCTGTAGTATGATCAGTTATTTATAGTAACATGATTTCTGTAATATTATAAAATATTTTTAGTAATTAGATGTTGTAGTAAGTAATACTTATTATAGTTTCAGTACTACCTGTACAGATTGAGTTATTACTAGGCTAATAATTATAATTACTAAGATGATAATTATATAATATCTGGATTGTGTGTAGTACAGTAGACTGTGTGTCTATAGTGTATTAATTTGTGTTTAGGATACTCAGACAGGTGTGTTGAGTTTTATGTTATAGTATACTATACACATGTACATCACGAAAAAGTCTTAAGTATTGTACTTACTTGTAATCTCATATATTTTATATATTTTATAAAATTTGTCCAATTACATATAATCTTCCTGGGGGGTTAAGTAATGACAGTACAATGTTAGATAAGTAAGTGAGAATACTTTTAAAACTTGGCAATTTCCATTATAATTTTATAAATTGTCAAGTTATAAAAGTGATTATAACACTTTCTAAGATTACAAGACTAAGACATACTTATTTATTTGAGAAAGTATAATATCTGCTTATAATACTTATAAGTCATTACAAGCGTTTGAATTGCTTCCTTTTGCTTTGGATACAATTTTTATCAAATAATTAATAAAATATAATTATATTTAATTATTTA